AGGATGCGGTGCTGGGGGGAGGGGGCTGCGGGGCGGGGGGGTGCGGGGCGGGGGGAGGATGCGGTGCTGGGGGTGTGCGGGCGGGGGGGTGCGGGCGGGGGGAGGGGGCTGCGGGGCGGGGGGAGGATGCGGTGCTGGGGGGTGCGGGACCGGGTGGGGGGCCTGCGAGGCAGAGGGGCTGCGGGCTGGGGGAGGATGCGGTGTTGGGGGTGCGGGGCTGGGGGGATGCGGGCTGGGGGCAGGGCCCTCGGGACCAACGCGCCAGGACACACACGGGCCATGCCTGCTGCCTGTGGGCATTCCCTCCTCTATACACGTAGCTCTGTGGGTTAGGTGCTGGTTGACCCCCGTTGTGCGGATGGGGAAACTGAGGCCTGGGCAACCTGAGTCGCTATCCGAGGTCTCTGAGCCCCAAACCACAGGATTTTAAAAAATCGTTTTTTGTGGGGGGGGGCTAAGGCTCATGCCTGTGATCCCAGCACTTTGGGAGGCCGAGGTGGCCGATCACAAGGTCCAGAGTTCGAGACCAGCCTGACCAACATGGAGAAATCCCATCTCTACTAAAAATACAAAAATTAGCCAGTCATGGTGGCAGGTGCCTGTCATCCCAGCTACTCAGGAGGCCGAGGCAGGTGAAACCCCTGAACCCGGGAGGCGGAGGTTGCAAGAGCAGAGATCGCACCATTGCACTCCAGCCTGGGCAACTACAGCAAAACTCCATCCCCCCCCAAAAAAAAGAGTGACTTCCAGGCTGGGCGAGGTGCCTCATACCTGTAATCCCAGCACTTTGGGAGGCCGAGGTAGGATGATCCCTTGAGGTCAGGCGCTCCAGACCAGCCTGGACAACGTGGTAAAACCCAGTCTACTAAAAATACAAAATGAGGCCGGGCGCGGTGGCTCACGCCTGTAATCCAAGCAATTTGGAGGCCAAAGGCAGGCGGATCACCTGAGGTCGGGAGTTCAAGGCCAGCCTGACCAACATGGTGAAACCCCGTCTTTAAAAAAAAAAAAAAAAAGCGGGCCGGGCGCGGTGGCTCAAGCCTGTCATCCCAGCCACTTGGGAGGCCGAGGCTGGAGAATCGCTTGAACCCGGGAGGCGGAGGTTGCAGTGAGCTGAGATGGCACCACTGCACCCCAGCCTGGGCAGCAGAGCGAGATTGTCTACAGTGACTTCCCGAGGGTTGTGGCCTGCCTGAGGCCTCAGTTTGCTGATAGGCACTGCTGCCTCCTGGGAAGAGGGTTGTCCACCATAAATGCAGGAACAGTGAAGTGTGATGGGGATAGGATGGGAACTGGATGGCGCGGCTGCCTTTGGGCGGACTCAGAGGTGGCCCTGCTTCCTGGGACAGGAGGACATGGCCTGCCTTCGGAGGGGTTTCCTGCAGAGGGCTCAGGGACGCCCTGTGAGCAGTTGGGCACGGGTGGGTCCCATTCGTTCCTGTTCCTCCCCAACGGCCCTGGGGAGGGGGACGTTGCCTGCGGTGGCCGGGGCTCTGTTTCCCTGGCCCGTGAGGGGTGGGGCCAGGGTGGCCGTTGGGAATCTGGTGTTGAAAGGTGACCACAAACAGCTCTCCAGAGGAGGAGGAAAATGCAATCGATTTTCGGGAGCCTCCTGGGGTCAGGAGAGGGAGAGTGTGCATGGGGGACCCTCCTGACAGCTTGGGGGGCCAGCAGGGGATCTGGGGGAGTCTCAGCATCTTCTAAGTTGGGGCAGGCCTGGCCGTGGTGGGCACATTGCCGGGCTGAGGCGCCTGGGCTTGGGTGTGGGGCACTGGTGATCTGTGGGAGAATTCAGAGCAGGCTGGAGGGGTGGAGCATACCAGATGCTGCTCAGAAACCTTCATTTTATTTGAAAATTATTATTAGAGGCCGGGCGCGGTGGCTCATGCCTGTCATCCCAGCACTTTGGGAGGCTGAGGTGGGTGGATCACTTGAGGTCAGGAGTTCAAGACCAGCCTGGCCATCATGGAGAAACCCTATCTTTAAAAAAAAAAAAAAAAAGAAAGAAAGAAAGAAAATTATTATTATTATATGGAGATGGAGTCTTGCTCTGTCACCCAGGCTGGAGTTCAAATGGCGTGATCTTGGCTCACTGTAACCTCCACCCCCAGGGTTCAAGTGATTCTCCTGCCTCAGCCTCCCAAGTAGCTGAGATTACAGGCGCCCACCACCACGCCTGGCTAATTTTTGTATATTTAGTAGAGACGAGGTCTCCCCATGTTGGCCAGGCTGGTCTTGAACTCCTGACCTCAGGTGATCTGCCCGCCTTGGCCTCCCAAAGTGCTCGGATGACAGGTCTGAGCCACCGTACCTGGCTTTTTTTTTTTTTTTTTTTTTTAATAGAAATAGGGTCTAAACATGTAGCCAAGGCTGGTCTCCAACTCCTGGGCTCAAGTGATCCTCCCACCTCAGCCTCCCAAGACGCTGGGATTACAGGCATGAGCCACCATGCCCAGCCTCAAAAACCTTTAGAAATATGAACCCACTCCATGCTCAGCACCGTTCTCTCTAGAAGGCAGGGCCCGTTTGTATGAGGCCCATGCTTGGCCAGCACGGGCTGGACAGACCCTGGGGTCTCAGCAGGGAGGGTGGACAGGTGGGATCTGGGGTTGGCAGAAAGGAGAGCTGGCTCAGACTGAGGCAGGGGTCTGGGGGCTGTGCCATGGACCCTGTGAGGTGGCCAGGCCGTGAGGCTCAGTGGAGACTGGAGTTGAGCCCTGGAGCCCTACATTCAGGATGGGCAGGGGACCCCGAGGCACCCTGGCCTTGCCTCCCTGGACTCCCCCCAGATTCACCCCTTGGAGGGGCAAACTACCCTTAAAGACCCCCACAGGCCCAGACACAAATGGTGTCCCCAGAGGTGTGGGATACGGTTAGCCCCAGACCTCAGCTTGCCTTGGAAGTGAGCCCCATTGTAAAAAATGTAGGCGAGGCTGCAGGCAGTAGCTCATAGCTGTACCCCCAGCACTTGGGAGGCCGAGGCGGGGGGACTGCTTGAGGTCAGGAGTTCCAAACCAGCCTAAGCAACATAGTGAGACCCCATCTCTACAGGCATGTGTCTGTGGTCCCAGCTACTCGGGAGGCTGAGGCAGGAGGATTGCTTGAACCCAGGAATCGGAGGCCGCAGCGCGCCAAGATGCCGCCACTGCACTCCAACCAGCAAGACCTTGATGCTAAAAAAAAAAAAAAAGAAAAAGAAATTTACATAACATTAGCCATTTGGAACCGTACAGCTCAGTGGTTTTCCCTGCCTTCACAGAGCTGTGCAACCATCACCACTATCCAGTTCCAGAATATTCCATCACCCCAAAAACGGAAGCCCCCATCTCCATCAGCTGTCACTCCCTGCCTCTCCCCTGGCCCCGGGGAGATATATATATATATATATATATATATATATATAT